GAATCCCGCGTCCTCGCGGAAAAAAAGAAGAAAAAAGAGAGAACCAGGTGTCTAAAATTTTTTATCTGCGAATAACTTCTGAGAGAACGACATCTTTTTGAGGAAAATAGTTAAAACAGTAGTAAACCCAATCATAAATGTAATTTAATGTAACCCAATCATGAATGTAATCGACATTTAAGGCATGCATATAATGTTGTAAATCTTGAGGCGAGGTGATCTAAGAAGAACGACAAGGACAACGACGAGGAAACGACAGGCACCCCGGAAGACAACAACTTCCGAAGCGCCTGCCCGCACACGCAACCCCAAGAAAAAGGACAACGACAAAGAAACGACAGGCACCCCGGAACAACAACTTCCGAAGCGCCTGCCCGCACACTCAACACGTTCACACATGTACTCAAAACAACAAGAATAGCACTACACAAGAACAGGCAAAAACCTGGCGAAAACCTTCGAGGTGCGAAGAATCGAGTAATCCTTCATCAACGAGACAAATCCTCAGTTGCACACTGGCTCTGAAAGAGTGGACGTGTTAGCAACATCATCGGGACAAACGGACCAATAAAGATAGAGCATGAGACTCTTAATCTCAGGGTTGTGGGTTCGAGCCCCACGTTGGGCGCCAATGTTGAATTCAAACAACAGCCGACGGAGCGAATCGAGTTTAGTGGCAGATCTTCAATCATTCGAGTGAGAGTCGAGAGAGAGAGAGAGAGAGAGAGAGAGAGAGAGAGAGAGAGAGAGAGAGAGAGAGAGAGAGAGAGAGAGAGAGAGAGAGAGAGAGAGAGAGAGAGAGAGAGAGAGAGAGAGAGAGCTCGACTGCGGAACAACGCAATATAACGGGCCTGGGTAGCTATGGCAAACATGGGTGCGCAAGTAGCTACCCAGGCCAAATGAATAATGCATGGACTAATGACTATGAACTAATTACTTGTGGGCCTAACAGGATGATACAACAGTTCGTCCGTCACACTCCTGGACTATCTCTAAATACAGGAAGTGACATGAAATCTTATCTTGCTAAAATTCAACTCAAGTCGTGTTAGCCATTCTGCGAGTTGTCATGGGAAACGTAGTGTTCAAATTGCTTAATTCACACTCGAATTGCAGCCGTCTCTCTCTCTCTCTCTCTCTCTCTCTCTCTCTCTCTCTCTCTTCCTTTCTCCCTCACTCCCTTTGTCACCATCAACTGACTTCTTTGGGTATACCACTTTCTACATAGAAAGTGCTCAATTGCTTCACTTTACCCTATAAATATACTCATTCCTTTATCTGCTATCCATTCGCTATCTACATTCCACTGAGGAGCTGTCAATGAGCGAAACAGCTGTCTGGAGGACATGCCTTGAGGACATGGAACATCTATCCAAGAGCGAACTTCCTCACTATGGAGTATGATGTTGTGTATGTGGGTCAGGAGCGCAATGTGGAGAGGTGGAGAGTTCAAATTATTTTCAAATGGTCGAGTTCGTTGCTACTTCTGAGTAGCCTGAAGTTTCTTCCAAATTCGGATTTATTCCGTATTTACCATTTGAGGTCGACAACAACAGGTGAAAATTGGAAATAACAGAGGAGACGAGACACATTGTACACGAGGCGTTCCGCAAGGTCGGTGCTGGGGCCTCTGTTATTCTCTTTGTACGTGCGACATGTCCCTGGAGTACTTCGCCACGCAGAGTCCCAACAGTATGCTGACGATATCGCCTTTTATATACACTGTCAGTCTACTGGAGAACTTCAGCACAAGTTGACAAGTGAGTTGAACAGACTAAATACGTACCTTGGAAGCATTGCTCTCATCTTGAATGCCCAGAAAACGAAGTTCATGGTGCTTCGGAAGAAGGCTCTGCCTCTGCCGCCGGATCTTACCATTGCATGCGGTGGTGTCGATATTCGCCCTTCTGCCACAGCGCGTTATCTTGGCCTTATTATTGACCAACACCTCACCTTTGAGGATCAAATCAACCATGTATGTACATCTGGTTATAAGAAGATAGGAGCATTCCGCCGCTGCCGCCGTACAGTAGACCACACAACTAAGCAAATATTTTATTTATCCCTCATCCAATCCACTATTGAATACGCCAGCAACTCGTATGCTCACTGTCTTACACCATCTTTATACTCTCGCCTTGTTACTTTAAGTCATATCAGCATGAAAAAGGTTTTTGGTCTCCCTCGCCGTACCCCGACTGTCTTTGTTTTGCGGCACGCTAAGTTATACTCCCTCGAATCTCGTCTCAACTTGAGGCTTTTATTTTGGTTTTCCGCTGTATTCATCAGCTTACAAGTCCTCTTCTTTCCTCAATGTTCACCCTCCAGTCGGCTGCTACTTGCACCAAGAGGCGCACTAGAGGGCAATCATTCTCTTCACTTTCTTTGCCCGCTGCTACCACTAGATATGGCATGTTCTCTATTTCTTTCCTTGGCGCTGATAGGTGGAATTCTCTGCCTGTCTCGTGTCGTCAGGTTGAGCATCTATCCGTTTTTGTTTCGCTCTGTAAAGAGCACTTAGGGTTCCCTGTAACAAGACGGCAACGTCTGTAGGGCCTTCCCTATCAAGATAATAAATTCTACTACTCCTACTACTACTACTAGTTTGGACTGGGGCAGTGTGATTATTATTATTATTATTTTTTCTTCAGACTTTTCCCGTTAGTCTCTTTCCCTCCAACCAGTTAATAATAATATTATTATTATTACAAAGGATCAGTTGGGGAAGTGAACTGCCTGAAAAGAGAAAAAATCGCCAGACCCACCAGGACTCGAACCTGGGGACCCTGCTTGTCATGAGCAATGCTCTAACCACTGAGCTATGGGACCAGGCTGAACCTAGAAGGCGCTGACAAGCCTTTCACTCCAAAGGCAGCGCCTTCTAGGTTCAGCCTGGTCCCATAGCTCAGTGGTTAGAGCATTGCTCATGACAAGCAGGGTCCCAGGTTCGAGTCCTGGTGGGTCTGGCGATTTTTTCTCTTTTCAGGCAGTTCACTTCCCCAACTGATCCTTTGTATTTGAAGTTCTCCCAATCCGTTCAACAAATTATTATTATTATTATTATTACTCAATCTGCGGACAGAACTGTTTCGTCCTTTGTGGACTCGTCAGCGCAGCACAGAGGAAATGAGGCCGAACCTGATAGCAATGGAAATAAAAATTTCCATTACTATTATTTGAAACTCGGGTATTGAGCCAATAATAAAAGTAGAAAGGAAAAGGACATATGGAAACGAGTTAAGAGTAACTCTCCACCACTGTAACTAGATACTATATCCAGTCAGAAAGTGCAACAACTAGGCACAAAACTGACAGAGTACTGAGACATTCGACGTCCTGACACCTAGCTTCAACACATCTCCGTAGCGCTAACCGACAGCCTTCCAACTTGGAAGGTTAGGTTAGGTCTTTGGTCTTTCCATAACCTTGAACCTTCCAAGTTGGAAGGCTGTCGGTTAGCGCTACGGAGATGTGTTGAAGCTAGGTGTCAGGACGTCGAATGTCTCAGTACTCTGTCAGTTTTGTGCCTAGTTGTTGCACTTTCTGACTGGATATAGTATCTAGTTACAGTGGTGGAGAGTTACTCTTAACTCGTTTCCATATGTCCTTTTCCTTTCTACTATTACTATTATTATTATTTTAATAACGAAGGTACGTTTTGGGTCGTAAGTATCCATGCAAACACACATCCAGTCAAAATAAGGCACTTGTCAAAAGTATCCGAATGTTTTCGGTCCCTTCTCATCAAGGATTATACAGGGAATGGCTCAAGTTGGAAAGACTAAAACTTATATAGCGTAAAGATAATGAGATAACAACACTCGTGACAAGGTGGAAAATTATCAAGTTCAGCACGACACAAAACTCGAAGGAAAATAATAATAGTGACAAGAACATAGTGAGCAAATTAAGTTACATTGTTAACACCTCGACGAGGAGTAACACCAAACAATTGTAGCGACAACACATTTTCTTTCTGTACGCAAAGTTCCGGATCTAACTTACGGATATACAAAGCTTCTAACACAGCCAGATGCAACGCACATCTACCACGTGACAATATTGAGAACACATTATCACTGTACAACTCCTCGTCAAGGTGTTAACAATGTAACTTAATTGTAATGTGTGCAATGTAACTTAATTTGCTCACTATGTTGTTGTCACTATTATTATTTTCCTTCGAGTTTTGTGTCATGCTGAACTTGATAATTTTCCACATTGTCACGAGTGTTGTTATCTCATTATCTTTACGCTATATAAGTTTTAGTCTTTCCAACTTGAGCCATTCCCTGTATAATCCTTGATGAGAAGGGACCGAAAACGTTCGGATACTTAGACAAGTGCCTTATTTTGACTGGATGTGTGTTTGCGTGGATACTTACGACCCAAAATGTACCTTCGTTATTAAAGTATTATCCGCCTCCGACCTCTTGTAAAAATTATTATTATTATTATTGTTGAGAAAATGACCGAAAGGCAATATGTCTATCGAGGGGTTCACTTGATTGATGATCATTTGAACAGTACCTCTACTAGCACCGGTATGTACAAAGAAAGGCAGGGCTTCATAAGGAGAGAAACAGGGGGAAGATCAACTGCAAGGTGGCGGAATTCCATTGATTGCATAAGCATGGATAGCTGTAAATTTCCTGAGGGCAGCTTTGAACTTATAGAGTGAGGCTTCCGATGTTAGACTAGGGGTAAACAGTTCCATAGAATACCAGTTCGGAACATGAAGAGAGACTTAGACAATGATGTATCTGGCTTGTAAGTGTGTTCTTGATTGTTGTGTGGCATTCTCTCCTCTCTAGTGTCGCTGCTACTGATCATTGTTCATGTAAGACTTGGACATCGGGTACCGGCGACTACGCTTATACCACAATGGCGGTATTTGCTCGCTACGCAGCTGGCCTCACTTTGTTCGGGTGTATTTTACTTGGATTGCCGCAGGACGGTGCTTGTATAGAAAAAATCAGCGGACTATATAGCATTGTGAGCTCGGCTCAAGCTACTACCACAACTATTACAATTAACTTTTCAAAGAATGTGGATGGTTATGCTGTAACATGGGGTACAGGCAGGAGTGCAAACCGGACGCTCATTACAGGAACAACTTTAACACTGAAGAACCTAGCCGAGGGAACAAAGTACAGTATAAACTTTCTTAAGCCTGAAATTCCTTTTACTTGGTACTATATGTACACTACACCCACAAGTGAGTACTATCTTGATTTTGCTTTTTTTTCATCAGCACACAAAGGTGGGATCATTTCCAAGTTGGCCCCTAGTCTGGGGACTCGGGACTGTTGGCCGCTGGGTTGTTCCTTTATCTATTTGATTCATGTTTCTCAGGTTTCGTCTGAGTCTATCGCTCTGTTTTTACAGAGCAGTCTCAGTTCACCAGTTCCTATACCCCGATCCTGTCTCAATGGTGCGTGCAGCATCAGCAGTTGCAGGTCATCACATACCTTTCTAGAGGAAGAGAATGTTCATGTACAGTTGTCCCTTTCTAATCCGGCACCTTTTGCAACGGCATTTTCTGCTGGGTAAACAAGGGTGCTGGATTATCAAATCTTGCCCTCCAACCCAGCCCACCTGTTAACATACATGTTTGTGTCGTACTTCAAAGCGTAGGGATTTTCTGTGTCAATCCAAGTACTTTGTGGAATGCACGTCTTTAACATACACTTGGGAATACCTATGCACTGGCATAGGATATTCCCAAGTGTATGTTACACGTGTTGTGTATGTTACAATGCTCCCTGACCGTATGCGACGTACAACTGCTGGATTAGAAAATTGAATTATGTACAATTTGAGTGATTTGTTGCAGAAAATCGCTGCTGGAGGCGGAATTCAAGTGCCGGATTAAAGCGTAGAAAATGAACTGAAAAAATCCGTTTTGCCAGAAAGTGTGCTGGTTTGCAAGTGTGCTGGATAAACAAGTGCCGGATTAGGGAGGGACGACTACCAGGGAATAATTTACTTTCAATCTTTTTCATAGCAAAATCAAACTTGAATAGCAATTCAAACACGTTGCAAAGCAATTTTCTTCGACACTTGACAACCGTCCTCCTGGAGAGCTGATCAGAGTGCAAGCTCAGACCACAAGTACATTGTAATACCTTAGTTGCAAACCTAGCCTGGTGTCAGGATGCAAAGCTCAGCACTTTCGAAGTTTCCTGCATCTATTTCATCCCTAGAGACACACCTGACATGTATACTGTGCATCATAGCAAGAGTAGATAAACAAGAGTGTGCAACTCGCGGATGGGTTGGCCCACGGCGGAATTTTTTGTTGACGTAATCTTTTCGACGACGCACGCGCTGCGAGCCTTTTGGAGAGTTTTCCCTCGTGCACTTGGCTTGGCTTTACACTACAAGGTCGGTGCCCAGCACGTGCTCTCACACTGCTCTGCGGCAAAATCCGCGTTTCTCTGAAAAAAGGTGACGTAAACAAAAAATTCCGCCGTGGGCGCGGGAGATTGTGCAGGAGAGATCCGGAGTTGCACACTCTTGTTTATCTACTCTTGATCATAGGGTACAGTGAACAATCAATATGCATCGCAGTTTTCTGCGACACATTTCTGAAGTTGCTTTGCACCTCAGAAGAATTGCATAGCAAATTGCGATGCGATACCAGTTAAATTATTCCCTGTGTACACTCCTCAGTCCGGATACTGACACAGATATAACACAAAATGCTATTCCTGAAGCTATGCGAAGACCCTACTTCAGTAGTGTCTGATGCTAGCCAGAATCCACAGCACCTTAACTTGGTGTGTTTTATGTGGCATGCATGCCCGTCATCGCGTGACGCGCCATGCCTGGCGCGTTATCCCGTACATATCCCGTACCGTACCGTCAAAGAATGCTGGCCTCATATTCAAATAGGGTTTCCAACGCCAGGAACATAATGTGAAGCAACTCAGTAGAATGTGTATGTTTGCGAAGTGTGTCGAGGAAATGTGTGGGTCGAATCCATGTTATGTGTAGACAAAATTGAAAAAAGAAAGAAAAAAAGCTAAGACCATAGCGTACTGGGTAGAATGTACCTGTATGGAAGCTAGAGTTAGGCGAGACCAAAAACAAATTGAGATTCCCGGGCCCTCCCGCACCAAAATCGAGCCGAAGGCAATTTTTTGAACAGTTCGTATTATCAAGAGTACATAACCCCCAAGAGTGTGCAACTCCAGCTATGGGGTCTGCGACGGCAGAACTTCACATCACGTGATGAACCCGTACACATTATTTGCACTCTGTGCACGATAGATACAGGGTTGTACGCAGCCCAGCTTTGGGTACAACTCTCTTGTGGTCACTTTGCACTATTTGCCAGCATAACCTTTTGAACCATGTCACGTGATGTGAAGTTCTGCCGTCGCAGCACAGCATAGAGGTTGTGCAGGCAGTTGCACACTCTTGGGGGTTATGTACTCTTGGTATTATGTACAGTGCTGATCGTGCGAGTACATCTGTGACATGGTGTCACACAAACCTGGGCTTGTACGACTCCCTGGTGTGCGACTCAGGGCTGTCGTTGGCCGAAATACAAAAGAAATTGTACGGGTACCAGTAAACCACGTACCATGTACCTGTCGTCTGTAAAAAAAATAAAAAAATACCGGAAAATACTGTAAAAAAAAGAGTTCAGCATGCCATGCGTACACACATAGGAAAAAAATAAAAATAAAAAATTCGCCCGCCCGCACCAATTTCGGATGGGTCCTGCCCGGGAATCTCGATTTTATTTTGGTCTCGCCTTATGAGAGTTTTTTTTTCAAATTATAATAGTTGTACAGACCATCTTTTAATTTTTTTTATTTGCTTGAAAAGCACATAACCACCAGGAAAGCTGACAAAGAAAAAAGAGTAAGACAGATAAAAAGAGAGCCGAGAGAGAGAGAGAGTTGGGGTACGGTTAGAGGAGGACGAGACATTGAATGGTGGTCGCCACAGTCACAGATAGTAGCAGTGCTGGTGAGGCTACATGCACTCCACTGACCAATAGGTCTCAGTATCGCCATGCCGGTAACGCACCAAAAGACAATAACGGAAGAAAATCTGAAGCGCAATCATGCGACATGAATAGTAATTACAATATAGGTAATAGGGAGAGTGGTGACCAAGAGAGGACAGTATAGACCGTTAGTATGGGGTGCTTCAATGCACATCCCCGAACCAAGAGGTGCGATCTGGAAAAAAAACAGTGAGACGATCAACATGATGGGCTTCAAAGCACGTCCCAAGACCATGGCTGGTCTGAGATGTGTTTGTTGACACCTTTTTAAAAAGCTGTGAGTCTGGTAAAAGGAGAGCGATCGCTCTCGCGCGCCTTCGCTCTCCTTATTTTCTTTTAGAGTGCACTTTTCGTCGCGCACCTTGAGAATTTCGAGCGCATCCGCATCACTATGAAGTTCTGAAAACACTCAAATATTTCGTAACCCGGCTTTCCCTGAACGAAATAGAGTAAACGAAAGGTCTATTCGCATTAGAAAGTTCTCAGCTGTCGGCTCTAACAAATCGGAAGTCGATCCGAGGCCCAATAGTGGAGTTATGGTACTCGCAAGGTATTTTACGCACCGTTGCAAATTTTCACTTCCGCACTTGGGCGGCAATCATAGTATTTTGACATAAAGGATTTCCCTCTGTTGCGTGACAGTCCGGGCATGCATAGACCTGTGTGACGCCAGGCACAGGTATCTAGCGGTCAGCTACAGAAGAAAGGAGCGCTCTACGATGAATACAACAAAAATACCTTGGATCTTAGCGAATTGTCTCAATTTCCCATTGCGTGTGTCATTGTCCCTTTTTTATTTATTTTTTATTTTTATTTTTTTACTATGTTCACACTCCCAGCTCGAAAATAATAAAGGAAGACAATGGTACTGAGACTAGGACGAACGTGACAACTATTGAGCAGGGGCTGTATCGAGATGCAGCAGTGATGGTGGGGCATTGATGGCTCTGCCGACCTGAGGTCTCGGCATCACGGCCAAAAACACGCACCAAAAATAGATGGCTGATCATGGCGAGTCGATTGTCCGAGCCAGTTGTTTTTGTTTTTTTTACTAGAGCCACGTAAACCCGTCATGTGTGAGCCATGAATACGGGGAGTGGTGGCGTGGTCTGGGATGCTCTGCCGACCTTGGGTCTCGGCTTCATCACAACCAGGCGCGCCAATAGCAGAGAGAGAAAGAGAGAGAAACTTAGACAGAAAGAGAGAGAGAGAGAGAGAGAGAGAGAGAGAGATAGAGAAAGAGAGAGAGTGAGAGAGAGAGAGAGAGAGAGAGAGAGAGGAGAGAGAGAGGAGAGAGAGAGAGAGAGGAGAGAGAGAGAGAGAGTTGTGGTGCATAGATAGGGATAGACGAGCGAGAGCATCCCTGATGAAGGGAAACTAAAGTTGTGGTCCGAACAGCTTTCGTTTGCAGTGTGTACGGCGATTTTCCAGAACGAATTTGGCAGCTATTGGCTATTGAATCAGATTGGGGTATGGCAAGATGGTGAAAAAACCCGTATTGTGCTCGCCTTGGATAGATGAGGCGAGCGACTTTTTTTGGGCCGGGGGGGGGGGGGGACTGCTCTCCCACCACTCTCCTTGAGAGGATAGCGAGAGTGATTGTTTACTCTCCTGGATTTTTCTTACACGAAGGTCTGGTTGTATTTTAGGCACTGAGTCAACTGGTTTTGGTCCGAGAAGACTGCGATGCAAAGTTCAGCAATTATTCCCAATCGAACACCGTTGAGTAAGCGGTCACTCATACGTACACCACTCACCTGGTCACGGTGCCTGCAGGCTGCAACTTTCACACCAAGGTTCAACTCAAGTGCCAGAAAAGCGTCCAAACAGGCTGAAAGTCAAATCCTCATCTAGTCTGAGGGCGCAGCCACCCAGTTTTGGTGGAAGTGGCGAGTTCGATTGGGAATAAAGGAAGAGGGGAGCATCTCAGCTTCCTCGCACCAAGACCATTCGACTCAGCACCCTGAGGACTATGAGTAGTGAGATTTTCATTCTGGACCATACTTCCCCTGATCGAGTTGTAGGTTATAGAGCTTTTTCAAGGACGCCTTTCCCGCCACCGCTCCGGCAATCACCCCGAGATTGTGGTGAACAGGTCGCATGTCAAAATGCATTGAAAATGGTATATTATAGGGTACCTCACTTCAAACTCTCCAACTACGGTCTCTTCGCTGCATATGTTCACTTCACTTCCA